GGGACACCCTGTATATAAATTATATATTAATATATATAAATTATATATTAATATATTAAATAATGTTAAAATCCCTCTGATTTATTCAACTTCTAAATCTAAATAATTACAGAATACAAAATGTAGTTTTTATCACCTAAACTATCTGAACCTAAAACCCGAACTCAAAGGTTTTTATTTACTTCTCAACGAAAATGAAAAACGTTCAATCTCAAGCAGGTTTTTCATATAAAATTATTCTAAATATTCTAAAAATACATGTGTTGTATATTATTATTATTATACACTAAAATAAACTGCGAGGACTTAAGTTCTGATTCAGGTGTTATAACAAGGGGAGAACAATTAGGATAGAAAAGCTTAAAATCAATCTTGGACATTTGCATTTTGCAAGGTACGAGGAGGGTATATAAAACATTTGAGAAACATTCAGATTAAAAGTTGGAGGAGAATAGTCAGTCCCTGTCACCTAATACCAAAATTATCAGTAACGATTCACAATCAAAAAGATATCTTTGTTTTTCTAAATAAAGGAAACTGATTATTTCCCCACTGTGATTTAAAGGCCTCAAGCTCTCAAGCAAAACTTAATGAGAATTTTGCCAATTTCTTCTTGAAAACCAAAGCTAACAAGTAACAACAAGTGCTTTATAGTGCTAAGATTTACATGAGCTATAGAAAAGCATAAGTGAGTTAGAACGGTTTAAGCAAAGCCCAAGTTATTATAACATCAATTGGAGTAAGTTCTCCAAAATTGAGATTTGCCTTATTTAAGATGGTAGAATAAAATTCTAGAGAGAAATGGGGTATTGGCAATGGGCATGTAGTATGTACTGCTTCTTGTTGGGTTTACTGTATCATGTTTGATCCAGTATTTCTTAAATATTTAACCAATAAACTTGGAGGCAAAATTTAACTNATGATTTGGAGGAAAAATGAAAAATTATACATCAAAAGGCAACTTTTTTTATTCTTCATAATAATAATTTTTATCCAACAATTCATTTCAGCGAATAAAACCCAAAAAGCATTTTTAACTTATAAAAATCATTTAAAAATTTTGGAGGGGGAGAAAAAATTGTTTTATAAGAAAATATACACCCCTGGTCAATGATAAAATTCTCCTACCAGAAGACTGAGTCTCTGAGCCCGACCATACTGAGGCTCTCCTTGATCTTCCTTTCCTTCTCCAACACAACAACCATCAACATTGGGGCCAGGAACTATACATAAAGTTAGATTTAGGCATTTTTTTAGTCCGTTTCGTAAGTATGTAGTAAATTCAGGAGAAGCATACAGTCTACCTTTCTATATTATCTACGTTTAGTTCATACCCTGACCGGCCCGACCGGTCAATCCATTTTACCTGTTATCAATAAATTAGTACCATATTAATCGTTGTTTCATACGGACGGAATTAGCAGGGGTAGGCTAGGTGTATAGTCAGAATTGAATGAAGAATTAGAGTAAGAGACAAGTAGTTAAAGAATTCTCGGGACCTAGATTGTAACAAGCATTTAGGAAATAAGCTTTCAGAAAGCTCTAGAAAAATCTAAAAAGGTTAACATTTTTAAAACATGTATGTTCTTTTAGTTTGCCTCTTTCAGGCTATGCATTCAAAATGTTGATACAGAAAGAAATCTAAATTTTGTAAGACTTCAAATATTTGTAAGAAGCCTCAAAAAGTTCATACAACCTTAAATATATAAAAAAAACTTATGTCATAAAATCAAATCAAAAAGTTTAACTAACTACCAGAGAGATAGGATTTAAGGAACAGGTAAGGGAAGCTTAGAGTATTCTAGAGAAAAGGTTCAACTAGTTATATCTTAATTCAGCTTATCATCGCTATTAATTAAATCCAACCTCTATACAAGTTTTGCAGAGATTTTCTATACATTTCAGAACTATTCTTTTGGTCCCCTACCGCGGGCAGCCGTAGTACATTGGAATTTCCGAGCCGGGTCAACCTTTCCGGTCCCACTTTGTACTGTATTGCCCGGATATTGGATTAATAAAGCAGACACTCGATAGGACTAGCCGGTGCAACAAGGTTTACGCGGTCAGACTATAGGTTGAATTTACTTTCACTTAAGGGGCAGAGGTGCGTGCCAAGACATTTTCAGTGTATAAAAACAGAAGGACGGGAATAAGACCAACAAATTATTCGTTTCCCCAAAACCAAAAATTTTACACTTTATACTTTGCTCCATTTTCAAAGTCCAAAGATTTAAAATTTGAGCTACCTGAGATATTGAAATTGTCATGTACAAGGGTAGAACTGATCTGAGAACTGTCTCTGTGCTTCCTAGATGAAAGATCATTTAAAACTATCTTTAAAAATTCAACTTTTGAATCTGCTATACAGTACAGTGGTCCACAAAATATCGTCAAACTTAAGTAAATCGTATTGATGTATTAGATATAAACTTGATATTTTTTATATAACTAGAAAATTTCTCTTATTTAGTTAAAATACTTAACAAACTCTCACTTTAATGTCGTCATCCCACAACACATTGTTGTAAGACTTTAGAAACACACCGTCCGTACGATATACATAAAATCCAGGTTTTTAAAACTTAAAAATTAACAAAAGTTTTGTTTCTTTGGGTAAATTAGCTTACATTTCAAAAATTTGGGTGTTATGTTTATTTTTAAAAGGTGAACATCTATAAATATATACTTTACTTGTCTGTCTGTGTGTTGAGTTTGGTTGTATCCAATAAACGTCAAATTGGCTGAACCGATCGGGCCCAAATTTTGTGTGGGACCTCACATGACCCCAAGGAAGGGTTTAGAATTATCAAAATTTCAAAAAATAGCCTCCAACAAAATTCATCAAATTTTAAAAATCCACAAATTTTTTTTTAAAAAATCCGCAAACTTTTTTTGTTTTTATTTTACAATGTATACAAAGAGAAAATGTTCACAATTGAAATAAAAGATGTCTCCCTAGTTCCCTTTTAGTCCCCCTAGTCCCTACCTGAATACCGGGGTTTAGGTAACTGTTCCAGAAGAATCTGAGGAATTGAATGAGAAGAATTCTTCTTCTAAAATCAGGGAAACAAAAATTAAGGTAATGTTCATAAAGGAAATGTGCTACCTAATTGTCGTAGACCTTAGATATTTCAAACTATAAATTCTGTTAGATCCAATAGTCTTAGATTGAAATATTAAAGATTTACACCATAAGGCTGCAAAGATATAGGGATTACAAAATATGAGTTTGTGGCTAATACTCAATTCCAAACCAACGTTTCCGTGTATTACAATACACAAAATATTCATGGATAATAATCATATTTTGACAATAGCATCTTTGAAATCTTCATATTCAGACCTGCAAACATTTAAGGGGTTGGGAAGGCCCCGTCAATCTGGTCTCATTAGTTGGTGACTAATTTAAAATAGACGTATCTTAACATAAACATATCTGTTCGCCCAAATTCTGTTAGTTTTGAGGAAATTTGAATTTTCTCTATTATCTTTCACATAAAATGTTCCTTAAGAAATGACAACAAGAAAGCTTTGACCAATAAGAGATTTTTTTATCATAATCTCTACGCAATAAGAAAATTAATTGAATTTATTCCATTCATTTAAAATGTTCCAACTCGGAGTTAGAACTTTTGTACTGTAAATCCTTTCAGAACGCTCTAATCCATAGCTTTTGTACGAATACATCGGAAGAATTTATCAAATGTCGTCTTGACCATTTTTCAATGAGTTTTATACTATATTACATAAATTTCAGTATTTGCGAAAATAAATAAATAGCCATGCATATGCGGGAACAGTTTTAAAGAGTTCCATATAATCATTTAATTAAAAAACTAAATATCTCCAACATTCCATTATCAGAAAGTGAAGAATACGACATTTGATGAATTCTTTTGATGTTTTCGTTATTAAGGGTTTCACTGTAGGTCAACAGATTTAAATTAATTACTTTTTGGATATCAGATGCCACACAAATTTACTCTCTTTTATTTTACAAAAATTTGCTTGAGATTTAAAGTTAAGTCATCATAAATATCTAGTTTATCATCTGCTTTAAAAGTTCCTACATCTGATTTTTGTTTACCTGGAGCCAAGTGTGTTCTACAGCAAACTGTAGAGTAGTAAACCCAGACCAGAAGTATGAGGTGACTGGACACTTTACTGGATACTCAAGCTGACCGATTCCCTGGGATATAAACTTGGAATTATGAACACCAATATCCTGGATATAAAACTTATGAATACTAATAATCAATATCCTGGATAAAAACTTATGAATATCAATCTCCTGGATAAAAAACTTGTGAATACCAATTTCCTGGGATAGAAACTTATGAATATCAATCTCCTGGATAAAAAACTTGTGAATACCAATTTCCTGGATAGAAAACTTATGAATACCAATATACTTAAGAGCAAACTTATAAATACAAATTCCTGGATAGAAAACTTATGAATACCAATTTCCTGGATAGAAAACTTATGAATACCAATATCCGGGATAGAAAACTTTTAAATACCAATTCCTGGATAGAAAACATATGAATACCAATTTCCTGGATAGAAAACTTATGAATACCAATATCCTGGATAGAAAACTTTAAAATACCAATTCCTGGATAGAAAACTTAGGAAAACAAAAACAATATCCTGGATAGAAAACTTATTAAAACCAATATCCAAGTGGTGAAAACTTCTGAACACTAATATCCTGGTGTTGAAATTTATAAATACAAAAAATCCTGGGGGTGGAAACTTTATCCTACCAATATCCTTGGTAAAATACTGATATCTACCAATACCCGAGGGTGCAAACGTATGAATATTAATTTCTTGGGTTGGAAACCTTTGATTACTCTTCTTAAAACCTCATCAGCTTGCAAAAATATAAATATTATATTAATATGGAATAAAATGATTCAAGAAAGACCCAAATTCTTCGGAATTCAGAATATTGACTTGTAATACAAATAACTTATAAACTGAAGAAATAAAAACCATGAGTACTGATTTTTATACCTTTAAAATTTGAAGACTTTAATCTTAGATCAAAATTCTATTTCAAAATTGCATGCTAGAAAAGTTGGCTTTTTTTACATTTTGCAAAATTTTCACTCTGCGCAAAGATATCGCCCAATAAGATTTTTCAAAACGTTTTGAAGAATCGTTGGTTAAAATCTTTGATCTAAGAAATAAATTTGTATATTGTAATACAAGCAAACTTTATCGAGAATACAGTTTTGCCATGTGGTAAATAACTCACATTATTGTGGAACACTTTAAACGTCATAAACCCCGAAATGTCTCCAAAAAACGGACCTCAAAACGATACATATCACTAACCAGGAGGAGGGAGGGGGTGATTAAAGGAGCTAAGAGGGCGGGGCTAGAATGACCGTCATCCGTTAAGTATATTACCTGAGCTGATAAAGTATCAATGAGTGAACCACCTTTCTCTTGAACCATAGCAGTTAACTTACTAAAGTATAAATAGAAGATGGTTGGTTTCAGCGTCAGACAAAACAACTTGTCTGTTGAAAATTTTCCATATACTTAAGTGCAGTTGATGTTTTTACAAAGCAAATAACTTTACTGGCAAGTTGATTGATCGCTAGTTAGTTGAAATTTTGGGGTTGTTGACACTGCACATATTACAGTTCTTTGGACTATCTAAAGTTATGACTTGAGGCTAAAGTCGAATTCCTATTCCAGAATTTTCTGGTTGTCACTGTATGTTCCCGAAGGCCATGCCCCAAGTGACTAACTCGAAAGAGATAATGCTTCCTATTTTATATTTATTTTATATTAATATATTTTTCATTTTTGGACCCTTTTTTAGGCATTTTTTTCCACCCTCCCTAGCACCCAAACTATTGAAGTTATCAGTCTAATTTTTTTTTCTTTGAGCTGGCCATGAAAAATTGGGCTTTGAACATGCATTTCAACCCTAAACATATTCTCTAAGGGCTTTTTGCCAGGGGGGGGGCGCCAATCGCCCCCCAGGCTATACATAGATTCAGACACCCCAGCCTTCATAGGGTTAAGCATTGAAGGGTCTGGGTTTGTTGTAAAAATAACTAGGATTTATACCGCAATGACAATAAAGAAAATTTTGAGAATTTAACAATGACCTGAGCTGAAAACTTTAGAATGAGATTTCCTTTATCCTGATTACTTAATCTGAGTATCCAATGGACACATTTTTTATTTTCTTCTTAAACTACTCTTTCTTTGATAAAGTAGAGAAAAATCAAAAACTAGTTTTTAAATCAGAGAGTTCCTCCCGTTTCTTGAATGGCACGCAAAATTTCAAATTTCCCGGCTTCTTATATGCGACTCTGATTTGTTAAATTTATACAAGTACAAGATTAGGTTAGTCTTGATATTAAGAAAAAGTGAGATGATCAAGCATTGATCTCGATATCCATCATTCTAAAGTAGTCAGCTCTGATATCCTTAATTTGTTCTAACTGAAAATTACATTTTGTGGTTTTGCTGTACAAGTAACTTGAGGATTAATGCTGCAGTGACAAAAAAGGAAATTGTGAAAATTAAACAATTCTTAAAATAGAGAAAGAACGATATGTTCCTGATTCTTTAAAAGAAACCACTCAATCACATGACATTTTGTCTTCAGTACGTTAATTAAGGATTAAGGTGTAGATAATGTACATATTCTTCCAAATCTAATCGGTATTTTATATTAAAAATTTGATATTTGATATTTAATATTCAATACTGCATATTTTATTTTTCATTATTTAATATTTGATTTCAAATTACTCTTTAGTCTTTAACGCATCTAATTTTTAGCTATTAGCTATTAGCTATTAGCTATTGTAGCTATTAGCTTACAAATCAGTTTCATAAATGTTTTATTAAAAATGTCCAATCCCAGTTCACACCTCCAGTTTAGAACCTTTAGTTTATCTATAATGTGTTGTAAATTTTCTAGCTTTAACAATAAGTAATTTTAACAATTTCCTCCATAATTTCTGAAGCACAAATCCGCAATTCAGTCTTTAAAAATGGAGGGTTACATGAAATTATGGATGAAGTCCCATTAATGTTAAACTATTTTTTAATTTTTACTTTTTCGAATTTTGGTCGTAACCGCGGCATTTATCTTGATTCGAGTACATTACTGAAGCAGGTGGTAAACTAGTAGATCCTTCATCACTTTAATACTAATAATACTAATAATACTAATAATAATAATAATAATAATAATAATAATAATAATAATAATAATATTTACTGTAGTGAAGCCCCGAAATCTGCAAATATTACAGCTAGGTTTATTGTTGAATAATTCTGTTCGTATTCCTGCTCAATGCTTGACTCATTCTAAAACAAATATGAAACAATATGAATTGTAAACTCTCAATAATTTCAGCTTAAAGGGACTATAACCAAAGTTTTGATTGTTATTCTATTTTAAAACTGTCATTAACCAATTCACAAACCATTCAAAATTTGTTTTAAAAAACGATTTGTGACTTTTATTTGTAAATATCTTTTATAAAATCCAAATTTTATCTTTTTAAATAACAAGCACAAGAACGCATTTTTTGAAATAAATGGTATTTAAACGTTAATCTTTAAATTTTTAAATGTTAATTTAGATCGAATTGAACCGTGTCCGTACGTCAGATCTTAAATTGATTCTGAAGAAAAAATTCAAGACAAATCGGTGAAACCAGAGTTTAGGGTTTATTGGGAAATGTAATCTTAATTTCATATCACACTCCATACAACAATAACAGTGCCCGATTCACAACCGTATCCTTAAAAGCTTTGTCCCATCACATATGAATTTTATATCAATGTTTATAATAGTGAAAGTGGTTTCTAAATGTGACTTGCGCATATCTCTGCGGAAAAAAGAATTCATCTTTGCACGGAGTGTCACTTGAAATAACGCTTACAACCCCTTTAACTCCTTAACAATCCTTAACTCCTGAAATTGTTGGAAACCTACCGGATAGAATTGTATTTGAACTGAAGTATTGAACAGATTTGATTGGACGGATTTCATGAAGGATTTTGTTTCCTCTGTATCTGGACAAACTGCCAAATTTTTCCTAAAAAGATATATTTGTTGTTTATTAGTTAAGTAGAAACTCGAAATGCATTATTTCTAGCAATATGTTTTTTACACCAGACTAAGTAGCTGTGGAACTATAAAAAATCTGAATGTACTTAAGACTAAGTAGAACTGAACAGGTCTGAACACTGTTCAATGCACTCTGGACTAATTAGAACTGAACAGGTCTGAACACTGTTCGATGCATTCTAGACTAAGTATAACTCAATAGGTCTGAACACTGTTCAGTTTACTCTAGACTAAGCGGAACTGAACAGGTCTAAACACAGTTCAATGCACTCTAGACTAAGTGGAACTAAACAGGTCTGAATACTGTTTAATCCACTCTAGACTAAGCAGAACTGAACCGGTCTAAACACTGTTCAATGCACTCTATACTAAGTAGAATTGAAAAGGTCTGAGCACTGTGTTCAGTGTACTCTAGACTAAGTGGAACTAAATAGGTCTGAACACTTGCACTTTAGACTAAGTAGAACTGAACAGGTCCAAACACAGTTCAATGCACTCTAGACTAAGTGGAACTATATAGGTCTGAACACTGTGTTTAGTGCACTCTAGACTAAGTGGAACTAAATAGGTCTGAAAACTGTTAAAATCGAGCATTGCCATCTTTGTATTTAGGATCTGTTATAATTACGCAATAAATAAATTAATAATAAACACCGGCACCCTTACAAGTTTTGAACTGTTACAGAGACTTGTAATTTCTCTATAAAGAGACTCAGGCATTTCTGTTTTAGAAATGATGGAAGAAAAATTATCAGAATCTGGGAGGGGATGGGGGGTCAGGGGGGGGGAGATTGTTTTCTGATGCTCTGGGGAAACAAGAATAAATAATTGTAATAGTCAAAGAGCAAGTTTAAACCAAGGGTTACGCAAAGAAAGATAATTGCAGTTGCGTATACTATGCGTACATATTGAAACTAGTTCTATCTGGAGGGTACCTTGAAATTACACTGTATCGAGTTCTAGCATTTTAGGATTTCTCTAACAAAAGTTCAGACCTGGTTTATAGTTAGTATTATAGTACACAGTACATACAAGGTGTCTCATGAAACATGACAGTTGGTGAATTGTTTTCAATGTCTTCTTTCATGATACTGTATTAGTTATTTCCAAGGGGAATTGAATAGAAGGAGGGGACGATTGGGTTTTTCGTACACTTTGCTATGACGTTTTTGGACTGCTGAAGAACTAGTTTTTGCTTAACCCAATCGCCCCCTCCTTCTTTTCAATTCTCCTTTGTTATTTCAGACTTTTTGCAGTTGTTAAAGAATCTTTTACTCAAATATATATTACTTTGAAATCAATTTTACTATTATATCACTGGTATCAAACAACTTAACAAATTTTGGAAGATGACATTGTCACTATTCACCAACTTTTTATGTTTCTTGGGACACCCTGTAGGTTAGTTCCTACCCTGAGAGTAGAGGAGGAAGGAAGGCTGGTGAATGACCAGGAGGCTCAAGAACAGACTTTAATAGTTGGTCAAATATTAATTATATACACAATACGATGCATAGATTGTGTACAGTGAGATTCATAAAACTGTGGAATAGAAAAACGACCAAGGTCGACTCAAGTTATGAGCACAGGGTCATTTCTCATAGTGATATTATAGCTGTTCTTGTAAAACTATTTTCTTAATACTAAAAATATTTCATAGATGTCGTTTTTCACATTTTTTTAAATCTCACTGTACACAAAACTGATTACTTGCCCCAAATATGATTTTTTAATCCCTATAGCTTTGCAACCTGATGTCGCACAGACCTTAGGATATTTCAAACCACACGAATTCTGCTATAGGCAAATCGTCCATAATCCAAGATAAATTGATTAGAAAATTTAATCTGTAAATAAATGATAAATTCATATGTATATATAAAATTACAAACAAAAAGTAATACCCACACTAAAAATTATACTTTGGAGACGGTTTGCAAACTTCTTTAACAATGTATAAAAAAATAGAAACAAGATAGAAACAAACCTTTTGTGTCTATAACTGAATATTTCCTTCAAATCTTAAAACTTACCCTGAGTGTGTGCCTTAAATTTCTTGATTTCCTGATCAGATTTCTTATAATAGTCGCCTTTACAGTGAAATTATTAAAAAAAAACAATTTTTAAAAGATAACTTTAACTTTAAAAAATTAACGAAAAAAAATTTGAAAATTTTGGACAAATGGTCACATCAAAAAAAACTTACATTAGTATGAACGTGATAGGGACAGCTAGGAAGTAGGAACTAGTTTTATTGTAAACAATAATAAAGATTGTAAACAAGGTTCGGTATTCGTACAGTCCCTGTTTACAGTGCAAATGCAATTAATATGTATTTAAATTCAAAAGACTGATTAGCGGGGGGGGAGGATGACCATTAACCAACCTAAAAATTATGTTTAAAACTTAGATTTTTTGCAGTTTTTTATCAACCAATTTAATAATTTCCTTAAGTTGTGAGAAGAAAGACGATGTGAGTTCTCCGTCTTCCATGATGTGCTCTCCACCCCTCCCTAGCTTATATCCACGCTGTCGTCGGTCTAACATAATTTAATTTCAAATCTACAAAATAAAGAGTCTCCACCCCTCCCTAAATTATAACCATGTTGTCGTTAGCCTAACATCATTTAATTTCAAATCTACAAAATAAAGAGTGTCCACCCCTCCCTAACATATGACCACGCTGTCGTCGCTCTAACATAATTTAATTTCAAATCTACAAAATAAAGAGTCTCCACCCCTCTCTTGCTTACAACCACGCTGTCGTCGGTCTAACATAATTTAATTTTAAATCTACAAAATAAAGAGTGTCCACCCCTCCCTAACATATGACCACGCTGTCGTCAGTCTAACATAATTTAATTTCAAATCTACAAAATAAAGAGTCTCCAGTCTCCACCCCTCCCTAGCTCATACCCACGCTGTCGTTGGTTATAATTAACATAATTTAATTTTAAATCTACAAAATAAAGAGTGTCCACCCCTCCCTGACTTATAACCACGCTGTCGTCGGTCAAACATAATTTAATTTCAAATCTACAAAATAAAGAGTCTCCACCACTCCCTAGCTCATAGCCACGCTTTCGTCGAGCTAACATAATTTAATTTCAAATCTACAAAATAACCCCCTTCCCCCCTCTCCATACAGAGTTCATATGTTGCATATGGTCAAAGTTGGACATCTGGCCCCAGCGCCCCCGTTCCCCTAGCCTGTAGTAGCCGCAGCTCCAGATCCTGAATTTGTATTAAGAAAGAAAATTTCAGCCCCCCCCCTGCACAGTTGGGTATTTTAAGGGGTCATGGGGGGTGACTGGTTTTTGCCACAATACACCTCATAAAATGCATTTATCTTGTTTTTCATAGCTAGCATTGATTTTTAATGATTTCAATTTATAATTACGTTTCCCGTTTATTTATCTTAGAATGGATCCTGTAAACCCGCAATATATTTAGATGTAGTCTTTGTAACAGCAAGAGCTACTCCAGAAGAAAACATATACTTATAGCAAGAGTAAAGAAACCTCAGCGGTTTCGGGATAATCTAAATATAATAGATTCCAACAGCCATATGAAAGGGCGTACAAAGGGGGGCGGGCAAGGTGGAAGTGCCCCCCATTAGACCCGTAAATCAGAGCTATAACACTTTTCAAATCTGAAACTGAAGAGTGAAGAGCATAATCAAAATTTGTGTTGTTACTTTTCTGCTAGTTTTCATTATAAAGGGGAGAAGTAGTTCTTGCAAGGTAATTGGACGATGTATGTGTTCCTTTAAAGTATCCAAGAAGCCAATTGTTTTGAAGTTACAGTTAAAATCCCCCCGGCCCCCTAGGATCACTCCTAGGGGTCCAAAAATCGTAGGACGGACCCAAGAGTTTTCAATGAAAGAGAGGGTTTTCATTAAACAAAAAAAAATATTCTCAAGCGGCCAAGCCTTTTGACATAAATAAGGGTTATGGAATAAATTCATTTTGGCTGATCCCCACCTCCATCCTAATACCCCAATGTGCCCCCCCCCCACTATTTATCGTAATCGAATCAATAGTTGAAAACAATTAGCTC